TGTAAATGGGAAAAAAAAATCCCTCACGGAAACAAATGAAGTACAAACCACTGATTATATAGTTTGCTATTGTGAAATGTTGATGCTCGAAAGACCTCTTCTTCATGAATGTGAGTATGGCTAATTGCAGTAAAAATATTAAAACCTTTTATATATGACTTCAGGTTAGTTGGTGTACTAGGAAGAAACGTTGCTAGTAATATAAATGTAGGTTTTAAATATTAACTAGCTTTAATGTTAGTAAAAGTTTAAGTTCTTTTGGTTTTGGAAAATTTCACCCTGGATGAACTAAATTCCTTAATATATTAGAACAGTTTTGTTGGTTTTTGTGGTGTTTTTTTTTAATCTTAGTAGCATGATAAAGTTTTATCAGCTTTGTTGCTGGGGATTTTTATCTCTCAAATGCATTTGAAAACTACATACTCCTTATTGTTGTGAGCTAAACCTCCAAGCCTCAGTATTTAAAGGATTGTTTCAAATGGCAAAAGAATATCAATATTGTAAAATCCCATTCCTTACAACTGTTATTTGAGATGTAACTCTCATGTGTCGTAGATAATGTGCAAATCTAAATGGATAAGTCGGAGTTATACTCTGTCAGGGGAATTGTGCTTTAAACAGTTAAAATGGTGTCTTGGCCAAACCATGGACTGTCCAGTGATAGGAATCTATTCAGCTGGAGCGTTATTTCTCATTTCATAGAAAGGTGATTTCTGCCTAAGTTTTTTTCTTTAAAACTTGAATTTTCAAGATAGACAATGATCAATCAGTTGCATACAGTCAAATAATTTTCCTGCTTTTTAATAAAAACTGAGACTAGCTATTGAGTTATGGTTAGAGTCAGATTATAATAATACATATGGCGTTACGTGTTATAGCTCTACCATATGAAAGATGCCTTTTTCTCCAAATAGTTTTATAAATACTTGCATTGCTTATAAGCATTTGTCTGTGTCACACTTCACCTAAATCCCATATACCCCTTCAGTATTTTCCTTGCCCGAGTGTTTTGGTCCATTCCACGAGATCTTCTGGTATTGCTCTTTGTGTCTCTTGGTATTGTCTGGTTGCTAATTGCCTGTCGCAGAGATCTCGGATCCCTGGAGCCTCTTAGGTGAGGTCAGAGTAGATAATTCAATCACACGCGAGCTGCTGGGTTTCCCAGGCTGGGATCTCGGGCTCACTGATGTTGGAGCAAGAACCCTTCTGACGGCGTCACCGAGCCCAAGTCTAGAGCTTTGTGTCTAACGCGTGAGAGATTCGGCATTTAACCCAAACACTTTACCCCAAATAAAAGTTAGAGATCTACCTTACTTAGCAAAAGTGAGACAGAATTGGAAGTTCAAAGTTTGGTGGTGTTTATTTGTTCATGCCTTGCCTTGTAGCTCTTACAATGTGCCATACGTATTGAATGGCTATTTCACACAGCTCGGTTATTGTGGTTTCATTCATCCTTTAGCCTCTTTTAAATATAGAGGCTCACTTTTTCTGCGTGAGAACCCTTCTTTTCTTCAGAGGCAATTGAATCACTTGTTAGTTTTAGGTAAAGCCTGAGCTTAGTGCTGTATTCATTCAAAAGGCAGGAGTAAATGGGGGTATAAAAAGTTACTTTGTCCATTTTAAAATTGTGCCTTGAATCTGAGTTTGTGTTGTCTGACCTTTCTCCAGTGTTACATTATGCGATTGCATGCATAACATCCTGTTTGTAACACTGAGGAGAAAAAGATCTCCTAGAAAGGCTATGAACATTGACAAGTAGAGATGGCATTTAAATCTGGATAAATGCTTCTGGTGGCTGAGAGCATTTGTTAAATTCACCTGTAAACTTGGAGCAGCTGATCTGTCTCTCAGGTAGCAGTGCTCCATTCAGAAGGCAGTGATGAAGAAATGGGAGCAGTGTTGCATGTTCCTCAGGGAAATGTATGTGCCACTGTTCTGAAATACTTTTTTTTTTTCCTTGTTTTTAAAGTTGAATTTTTACTTTCTCTGCATATGATTAGTTTAATTCAGGTAAGATGTTCTTCTCAACAAATGTTAGGCATGTCTGTTCTGCACACTGAATAGCTGCATGCACAGCTTACCCACTTTGAGAATGTGATTTGGCTGCTAGCCCACATCACAGGATTTTTATTTTGTCTTCACAGGTATAAAAGTACGTGTTCAACACCTGTCTTTGCTTTTAGGCAAAGGCTTTACCTGAAGTTTTCTCAAAACTTTAAAACTAACACGTTTGCTTGGAATGAAGACATTGTTTAGACTTTAACCTCTCGAATCTCTAGTCTCTGCTTAACCACTCACCAGGGTGCTGTACAGATGCAATGAAACAGAATTTCCATCTTTACACGTAGAGAAATGAGTGGGAAGGTGAAGGGTCTTAAAAACAGTCATGCCTAATTTTAAGACAACTAATAGTTCTACTCCTTTTGAGAAGAAATTCTCATGCTTAGTGTTAAACACAGATGTGAGTGTTTTGGCATGGTAGGTATCAGGAGATCTGCAGCTATCACAGATACAGGTTCAGTTTATGGGGCACACAGCAGCAGCGTGTATCTCTAATGACTATTGTCCCTATTTACTGACTATCCCGCTACGCATATATCTTTTGGACATCTAGAGGTTTCTCTTGTGGTCCTGTGAATTAATCACACAGACCAAACTTGGTGGTTAGCGCTAGCATGACCGGACCTAGCAAAACATGTTTAAGATTGTCATTACACTTTTTCAACAAAAATCAATCCGTTGGAGTAGCAGTTTTTTAAAAAAAAACAATACACCACTTATGAAGCCCTTTAATCAGAAGGCTTTGTGACTAGCACACGGGGTTTATTTGCTTATTTTAGTGTATTTGGCAGGAAAATCAATATTATAGTATAACTCCAATAAAAATACGCAATATATAGTACTTCCCATAGAAGAAGAGAGGTGATTCTCAAGTTGCGCCTGCTTTCTCTGTCATGCTAGCATGTGCCAACTTTATGCTTAATAAAGCCAACTGAAGTGTAAAGTACTTAGTCATGCAACCAGCATGATATTTAACTCATTTTAAGTTTATTCCTCCTGAAATGCACCATCCTTTCTTTTTGAGCAACAAATTGGTAACAACCCACGCAACTAAACGGGGATCTCAGAAAAAGCCACTCAGCAGCCACTGGTCTTCCCAGCAGTCCAAAAAGACACAGTTTTTAGCATCTTTGCGAGGTGGCGGGAGAAACAGAGAGAACATAAATAAGTATGTTGTATATATTTATATACATATGTATATATACTATGCATGCAGTCTTATGCTACAGAAAAATCCATTTGGGATGATTGTGCATCCTGGTATCCGTCAGTATAGGAGACATCACTGAAGTTTTGACAAATTCAGCATGTTCTCCAAAGTTACAAGAGCTTTGAGAAACCTTAGCTAGGCTTTATGCTTGCTAAGCTTTTTAGTAGACCTTGTAGTGTGTATGGTTTTTTATGCACTTTAAATCATAAAAACCATGATGTTCATCAAGACGAGGCTACATTACAAAAGATGTAGACTTCATATAGTCTTCAAATGTATGCATATTCAAAATGTTTAATGGTAGCAGATCAAACTCAATCTTTAAAAGTGGTGCATAAAGATTCTATTTGCCCGTGCTTCATTTAAACCTTTGTATTCCCTGCTGCTTTTTACCCCTAAGAGACTTTAGTTTGGTTTTTGTTTTGTAACTATACTGTAGTGCTCTGTCTGTGCTTTACTGTTGTGTAATAAAAAGTTGTGACAGATATCTGCTCAGACCAAAAATTAGGTACAGCAAATAATTGGAAAGAAGTTGGTAAAACTATACAAATATATTATACATGGGTGTAATATATTTGCTGCCTCTGCATATGTATTTATTATTTTGTGATAGCAACCAGAAACTGCAACGCAATCTTGGTATCTTTGTTCATGATACTTCACACACACCGGGCAAATAGTCTCTGCCTCACCAGATCTAAAGTACATGCTGTGCAAAGAGCAGTATAATATAGAGTCGGGAGCCTGCATCTATTTTTTTATGGAATGCAGATATTGCACTTACACATGGGTACGTACGTAATTTTATTTCTCTAAGTGTAAAATTTAAAGGATCAGATGTCAGAAAATGTAATCACTGAATTTTAAATTACAAAAGAGACAGATGTAGCTGTACTGCTGTATCCACGTATATTGTACAATATATTTAAATCATCTGTATGCAGGGAGACAAATGAGAGAACTCCACCATCCAAATATTAAATTACACATTTTGAAACAAAATAGTGTTTTAAGTGTACGTGTGTATAATGCTTTCTGTCACTGGATTGCTCTCCCTGATGCAGTTAGACAGAATCTGTAGTTAGTCAGAAATCTTTCAATAGAACGGGCTACCAGATGGGACCAGTAACAATGCAGAGAGGCATTGAACCACCACAGACATTTGGTGCTTAGAATAATAAAAAGACTATAAAATTAGATTAGTTGAGTCTAATTTGGAATTGGTATATTCCCTATGCACTCTCACAGCTCTTGGGCAGATAAAGGCTGGAGATTTAGTACTGTCAGGACAGAGGACTCCAACTTCCAGTAAAAGAAAAAAAGGCATTCTGGGAGGTCACGGAGGGCAGCACAGTGACCTGCAATGATTTACAGGCCTTTAGCTTAATGAAATTGTTTCAGTGACATGACGGTAAAAGCTCATAATGGATTGGATGCCCTAATGTAATGAAATTACTCCCTTCTGCCTTTAAAAAAAAAAAAAAAAAAAGGCGCAATTAATATTTACTGAGACCTGACAGGCTTCAGTGTGCGGTAGCGTGCAGCGCTGTCAGACAGCAGCGAGCAGAGCCAGAGCAGCGTGGCAGCCGAGCAGCCCCGTGCCGGGTGGCGAGCAGGCGCTGCGAGGGGGTGGAGGGACACCTCGGTGACGGGGAAGCCCTCAACCTGGCGCTCCGAGGCAGCTCTGCCCGTGCCGGCCAGCCTTCATCCTCTCCCTTCCTTTCTGCAGGCAACTGGACAACAACCAGATCAGCTGCATCGAAGATGGAGCCTTCCGAGCCCTGCGTGACCTGGAGATCCTGTGAGTTGACTTGGTGCCGTGCTGGGGCGGCGGGGGGGTGGCTCTCCCGTGCTGCAGTGCTGGGCGAATCTGGGGGCTTGATATCCTCCCTTCCCACCTCAGACCGGTGGGGTAGGTAGCAAAGTGAAATCTCACACTTCCCCCAGGCTGGGGTTACTGCTAATTGAAGCACAATAGACGACTTCTTTGCTGCCGCTATCGCCGTGCTCGCTGCTGCGTGGAACAGATGGGGTTCAG